AGTTCTGTTTTGGGCGTGATGAATGTGGGGCGCCTGGGAGACACCTCAGGCGCCTTCGAGAAGCAGCTGGGTCTTGAGGTTGAGCTCAAGAGGGAGGTGTGGGCTGGAGACACGGATGTGGGCATTAGAGCCAAGGTGTGAAGAGCTCACCCAGGAGGCACATGCAGGTGGAGAAGGGGGCCTCGGACAGAACTGGGAACACCGGCATTTACAGGGGAAGCCTACAAGGACGTCTGAGAAGGAGTTCTGGGAGAGGCAGGAGGGAGACCCGCAGTGAATGTCAGGAAAGCCGTGGTGGAAGTGACTAGCAGTCAAATGTTGCCCAAAGGTCAAATAAGGACTGGGCTCCTCAACAGGAAGGCCAGTGGTAACCCCGAAGAGATCAGTTCCCATGGCAGTGCCAGGAACAGTGGGTGGGGAGTGAGTGGGAGGTAAGGAAACAGAGACTTTCCCAATAAATGTGACCCTGAGGGGGAAGGAGAGAGATTAAAGTGGTTGGAAGGGGAGTGGAGCTTTTGTTTGCAGCAAGTTCATGCCCTGGTGGGAAGGGCCTGTTGGAGAAGGGTGAGCTGAGGTTCATTCAGAAGAGTGAAGGGTCATTAAGACCCAAGAACCTGAAAGGGGGGCCTGAGGGGGAGATGTGGGTGCGGGTGAGTTTATAGGTATGGTTTGACGTCAGCATTTGAGAGCATCCTGGGACTTCCATTTTCTCGATGAAGCGAAAGGCAAAATCAGTGGAGATCTGAGAGTCACAGCCCTCTCATGTAGACAACTGTGATAAATCTGTTTTTACCTCAATATTATGCAATCGAATTCTCAAATTCTGAAATACAAGTATAAATCTGGAAGAATTGTGGGAAGACAAGTTTGAATTAGTGGATATTGGTTTAAAAAAAAAGAAGGAAAACAAGTAATTTTATTCATTTCAGGTACATACAGTAACATAAAATATTACCTCCTGGTTGAGAAAGAATCATTTGTAATTAGCATAAAAACTGTTTGGAATGTAAATTAGTTTTTCAGAAGTACTTGACTATGCTTAAAAACAGTACTTTAGTATTTTAAGAATCCCCTTGTGGGGTGAAAACCACATTATAGTTATTTTCGGGCCTTGTTAAGTCTGCTTAAATGTAGTTAAAAAAATTTTTTTTTTCTGAAAAAGATACCGGCTACATCAGAAAACAGTTTCTGGCAAAGGTAAGATTGTGCAACTGTGTACTGCACAGGCTCTTTCCAAAGGCCATTTCCACCAGAGAGCAGATCTGATTGCGGGAGATTGTTACTAAGGGAACAGTGGGGCGTGAATATAAATTTCATTTCACAAAAGACCTAAGTAATGTATTGATCCAACGGGAGCAGCCAGTGAGTGCAGGACGAGGAGCCTTTTCCTAATTGAAAATACACACGTGTAATACACACATTCGGATGCAATCATCGGCTTTCACCTTGCTCTGCAAATCTCTCCTTTTTAGCTGCTGCCCAGATGAGCAGACCAGGGAGATTAGACAGCCAGGAGCTGGGGAGAGGTACTGCCTTTCTCTCCTCTCACTAGATGGAGGAACAACTTGGCAGTGTTGACACCAAGCTGGCCTGTAGCTCTGCACAAGGGACGCTGTGAACGCTATCAATGAGGACAGCATACTATTATTAGTATTAGAATTACTTTTTTAAAATATTTTTTATTGATTTCAGAGACGAAGGGAGAGGGAGAGATAGAAACATCAATGATGAGAGAGAATCATTTCATTGATTGGCTGCCTCCTGCACACCCCACGCTGGGGATCAAGCCTGCTACCTGGGCATGTGCCCTGACTAGGAATCAAACTGTGACCTCCTGGTTCATAGGTTGACGCTTAACCACTGAGTCACGCTGATTGGGCAGTATTTGCATTATTATTTATTGAACAGCAATTCTGGCCCAACACGCGATTGATTCCTCACAACCACCTATGTCGTATCCCCACTTCGGGACGAGGAAGCTGAGGAGTCTGTGCTGCTTCATGCCCAGGATCGTGAGCGGGTGCGTGGCTGAGTCAGGACTCAAACTGCAGTCCTTGGTCCTGTCTTCTCTTCTTCCCCTGGTATGGGCCTCAGGTTAATCACGTGGTAGCATGTTATCACCACTGGCCTGTGCAAGCCGGCAAGGCCCTTCTCAGATTATTTTTTACCTCTTTCTCCAATCCCCTTTCCCATCTCTATCCACCTTGTCCCCCTCACCCCACAGTTACTCTAGTGTGCTTGCTCGTGTCCTTTAATACATGCTAACCCTGATGAAGAGTGTAGTGTTGTTTTGAATACATATGCGTTCTATTATTCGTTTGTGTGTGTGTGGTAAGAACACTGGACATAGGCCTACCCTCAGCCTATTTTGTAGCATACAATACAGTACTTTAACTCTAGGCTCTATGCTGCACAGTAGATCCCTAGAACTTACTCATCTTGTAGAGCTGAAACGTTGTACCGCTTGACTAATACCAGCCCATTTCCACCTCCCGCCAGCCCTGGCAACCACCCTTCTATTTTCTGCTTCGATGAGTCTGACTAATTTAGAGTCCTCGTGTAACTGGTATCATGCAGAATTTGTCCTTCTGTATTTGACTTATTTCACTTAGCTTGATGTCCCCCAGGTTCATCTATGTTGTCACAAATTTCTTTTGTTTTAAATATTAAAATTAATTAAAGGCTGAATATCATACCACTGTACGTCTGTACCACATTTTCTTTATCCTTTGCCTGCTGATGGACATTTAGTTTGTTTCCATATCCTGGCTACTGTGAGCCATGGTGCAATGAACTTAGGAGTGCAGGTATTTCTTTGGGATCCTGATTTCAATTCCTTTGGATATATACCCAGCAGCGGAATTGCTGGATCATATAGTAGCTCTATTACGCATTCTAAATTTATATAAAAGGGATTGTGCTATAAGCCTCATTCCCTTTTTGCCAGTCAATTCTATATTTTGAAGCTCTCTCCGTGTTGCTGTATGGATATCCATGTGCTGTGTGGTTCATTGCTTCTGGATGATATAGCATTCTGAAATATTGTCCACACATTTTACCTATCCACTCCTCCGGGGAAGGGCACCAAGGCTGCCTCCAGCTCCCTGCTCTCACAAGCCGCACTGTGCTGAACTCCCTCACGCTTGTCCCCTTGTGGACTCGATGAGAATTTCTCTGAGATATGAACTCAGATATGGCTTCACGAGGTCAAATCACACAGGCTTACCCACTTGCACTAAGGCATGCTACAGAGGCTATATCAGTTTTTCCCAGCCAGTGTGACTCAGTGGTTGAGTGTCAACGTATAACCAGGAGGTCACAGTTCGATTCCCAGTCAGGGCACATGCCTGGGTTGCCGGCTTGATCCCCAGTGTGGGGCGTGCAGGAGGCAGCTGATGAATGATTCTATCTCATCACTGATGTTTCTATCTCTCTCTCACTCCCCCTTCCTCTCTGAAATCAGTAAAAATATATTAAAAAAATAAAAAGGCTGTATCAGTTTATACTTGTACAAGGACTGCACAAGAGGCCCAATCGCCCCACATCCTTGCCAATACTTGGCATTGCTCACTTTTCTAATTTTGCCATTTTGATGGATGCTAGTTGTTATGTCATTTAAATGTGCATTTCTCTGATTGCTAGTGAGCTTGAGCATTCCTTTCTATACTTGTTAGTCATTTGGGCTTCCTTTTTGTGTAAATTAACTCATGTCTTTTGGCCATTATTTAAATTGGGGGGGTGGGGTCTCATTGATTTGTGTTTCTCATATATTGTAGATATTAATGCCTTAACAGTTTTAGGGATTGCAAATATCTCATTTTGGTCTACCATCTAGTTATTCATTTTATTAACTCATTAATGTTAAATGTATTTATGGTGTATAGTAGAAGAGTGACGTGATATCATTATATCCATATATTTCTTTGTTTTGCAGTTTGTTTCAAGGGTCTTGTTGAAGTCTTTTCCCACCCCTAGGTCACAGGATGTTCTCTTATATCTTCTTTTATTAGCCTTACAGTTTTGCCTTTCTTTTTTTTTCTTTTTTTTGGTGTTGTTAATCCTCACCTGAGGATATTTTTTCCCATTGATTTTTAGAGAGAGTGGAGGGAAGGGAGGGAGGCAGGGAGGGAGAGAGAGAGAAACATCAATGTGAGAGAGGCACATCGACTGGCACATTTCCCTCAGTCCCCTCCCCCCGCCAAACCACTGTGCCCTTTAACCATTATCTTCACTAATTTCCGATGCCACCTTTTTCCCATTTCAGTTTTCAGGTGAACACAGACCTAAGTTCTTTATTCTGTTCCACTTATCCATTTGTTTTTGTCCATTTTCTGGTATTATTCTACTTCTATTACTATCGCTTGTCTTGTGTCTTATTACCTGCTAGGGCAAGGCTGCACTCTTTCGCTTCTTCAAAATGAACTTGGCCAAATTCACATATCCTTTGACCCCAGAATTCCACTTTTTAAAAGTTATCGTACAGATACCCTTGAACTAAGCAGAACTATGTACATACAAGTTTAGTCATTGCAGCATTATTTCGAATAGCCAAAAATTAAAAACTTCCAAAAACAGGAGACTGGTTTAATTATGGTACATCAAGTAGAATACTATGTTGTTGTTTAAAAGAAAGAACGTTCTATCTGCTGATATGGAAAGATCTTCAAGATACATTATTAAGTGAACAATGTAAGGTGTAGAATAGTGTATAGAATAGGCTACTTGTATATAAAAGGTGGGAGGGACAAGGCTCCCTATTCAAATTCACTTATATACACATAAAGACAGTCTGAAGGGACAGAAACATAAGAAACTAAGACTAATGGTTTTGGGGGGTTAGGGAACCTGGGCAGATGGGAGACAAGGCTGGGAGGAAGGGGTTTCATTGTCTGCCTTTGAGTCATTTATTTTTGAATCATGTGAGTGTATAACTTATTCAAAAAGTAACCTAAAATAAGGAAAAAATGGCTTAGCTCCTCATGAATTTATATTCCTCTATATAACATTTAGAATAAATTTATTGAATTACTAAAAAAAAACCCACCAAAAACCTCGCCTGGAACCTTGACTAGGACGAAACCTTTGTCTCTTCACTACTCGGCTCCTTCCATCAGGTGTGAGCAGCGCAATGGCAGAGATGAGGGCCTGAAGCCAGGAGAAAGCCCAGTCAGGTGGTAACCAGGACTGAGAACAGTGAAGAGTTCATGCCCTGACCGGTTTGGCTCAGTAGATAGAGCGTCGGCCCGTGGACTGAAGGGTCCTGGGTTCGATTCCGGTCAAGGGCACGTACCTTGCTTTCGGGCTCGATCCCCAGTAGGGGGCATGCATGAAGCAGCTGATTGGTGTTTCTCTCTCATTGATGTTTCTAACTCTCTATCCCTCTCCCTTCTTCTCTGTAAAAAATCAATAAAAATCCTATATAATAAAAGCCTAATATGCTAAGTGTCTGACCGTTTGTTCAACCGTTTGACCAGTCACTATGATGCGCACTGACCACCAGGGGGCAAACGCTCCAACCGGTAGGTTAGCTTGCTGCTGGGGTCCGGCCAATGGGGACTGGGCAAGACAGACCAGACACGCCCTGGAACCCTCTTGTGATCCTTCCCTGGCCCGATCGTGCACCAGTGGAGTCCCTCGGCCTGGCCTGTGCCCTCTTGCAATCTGGGACCCCTTGGGGGATGTCCGCAGGCCAGGCCCAGGGACCCCACCGGTTCACAAATCCGGGCACCAGGCCTCTAGTTTATATATAAAAAACGAATTCAGGAGAAAGTCTCCAACTTGTATAGGGCTACTGGTTTCCTTTTAAACAATGGCCATTTAGAACCATCTATCCCACTTCTTTCTGTGTGCAAAACTGTTGTATTGAGGAACTAATTTGGGGGAAGAGGGAAAAAGGAGTATCAGATATAAGCCTTTAAAGAACCTCTCCGTGAGCAATGACTAACTACTGTACCTCAAGCACAAGTGTCGGGCGAAGCCTCATCACACACCCGGTGGCAGGTTATTGTAACTGCAGGCGGAGCGCTTGAGAACTGCGGAGCTGAGCTTACAAATCCAAACCCAAGAAGGAAAGCCGGACATGCTTCGAAAACTTGTTTATTTTGTTTATGTTTCTAAACATCAGTCCAGTTCTTGTCCTAAAGGATCATAGATCCAAATTAGTAGAGTTGAAATTAATGAGATTTTCCAGTAATGAGCCTGAGACTAAAATTATGGAAAATTCACTAATTATAGACTGCAACCACCTAACCACGACTTGGACCCAGGTCTCTGGGGGAGAGAGAGGGAGGGGAGACAGAAAGTGGTAGGTGAAACCTGTGCCTGACCATTCTTCCTTCCTCTTGCCCCAGCCCTTTCCCCTGGGCTTGGTGGCCTCATAGCGCCCAGGGCTTCCTGCCTCTGAGCTCCTAACTCGCCCTCCCCCGATCTGGGCCCTACTTCTAAGGACTGTGTGAGGCTAAATTCCTGGAAACTACAAAGTTGGGCCCAGGAAGAGGTGGGGGACATGTTTTCTCCTGGCTTCTGGGAAGCAGTGGGGGAGGGGAGCTGGGAGAAGGAAGAGGGTAGTAAAGGCAGACAAAATGCCCATTATACCCCAAGCCCGTCAATTTCCTCTTTTCATCTCTTTATCAGTGTTTGTGAGTGAGCTTCTTATCAACAGGAAACGCCTGCCTAAGGGGATGAGGCAGGTCCAGGGGGACTGGACGCCAGGGACCGGGAATTCTGGGTAATGCATTGCTGGTGTCCAGCCTGACCAAGTAGCCTTCTGCTTCCCAGGACCCAGTATGGCTCCCAGGCTTTTTGCCGAGGCACCTGGTGAATCATTAGGAAGATGGCACACCAGACAGGCCCCGAGGCTGAAGGGTTGGAGGGAGCCCTGGGTGGGGCTCCAGGCCTAGCCCTCTTGGGCCAAGGACAGGTCATCAAACAGCTCAAGCTATGACATGAGCATTGCCCTTGCCCCTAAAATCCACCAAACCCCCTCTTTTCTAGCTGAGAGGCCAAGTGCTGTGACAAGTTCTCAGACGACTTAGTGGCAGTCACCCACTGGCCCTTCTAGTGTGTTTGCCTCAAGGCCTCAGAGGAGGGTGCCTGTGCTGGGCATCCAGGCCTGGGACAATCAGGGGCTTGGCACAGACTTCTGAACGAAGGGGAGCAGGGGGCTCTAGCATTGGTTGACCTCCTACTGTGTGCCAGGTGCATTACAAACATTGATCGTCCGGTTAGGATACTGGTCTTCCAGATGGGGTTCCCAGGAGAGGGAGGGACTAGGGGTCAGATTTCCCATGAGATTAAAGTCAAATGTTAGTGCTGAAAATAAATGCCCACGAGGGATGTCTGGGCCAAGCAAAGCCTTATGGGTGGCGGATAGGAACAGGTTTATCTAGACATCTCTGTATGGGAACTGGCTGTTCTCCTAGCAGGAGAGGTGGGAAAGGTTTGTGTAGAACAGAGGATGGGCCACCTTGTGGCTGGCTCCTCGCTGCCCTCTGCCTACCAGTTGCCCTGAGCAGCCACATTCTGCCTTTGGTGATGGCGGTAATAAAGGAAATTCCAGTGTGCCTCCTGCCCTGTCCCCGTGTCTCCCTGGACAACCCACTCTCCCCCCACCCTACCACTTGCTCCTGCAGCGGGGATCTAGGTCAGTAAGAGTGGGTGGGTGAGAAAGAACAGAGAAGAGACTCATCCAGACGTGACACCCTGCAGGGCAGCAGCGACAACACTTTAACCTGAAAACTGCCTGAAAATAGACTGTGTCTACGACATTATGCAAATCATATGCAAAGTCGAGAAACCCTCTGTCTCTATTTCTAGCAAACTGAATGTGGCCCTGATGGAAGCAGCTCCTTCCAAGAGTCGCCCACCCAGAGTGAGGACTGCGCAGCTAGCATCAGTCCGGCCCTGGGAGACTGGACTCGGGACATGCACCCCGCCACGCCCCTCCCCTCCCAGGGCTCGGGCTTTTAGGCATGAGGCCTTTGCCATCTCTGGGTCTGATCATCTTGATGCGAGTAAGGATATGGGGGAAGCAGAACATGCTTCTTGAAGGCTGATGTGAGGCAGGACTGAGGGAGAAAGTGACCTTGAGAACCTGGGTACTGCGAGGGGGCTGGGGTGTTCCCCAACGTCAAAGCTCATGCTCCAGGGACCACCGTCACCCCCACTTGGGCATGTTACAGACACTCATCATCCCTTAGGGAGGGTCCCCACAGGTGATCCCCTCCCTCTTTGTAGAGGTGAGAACATTGGAACCTGGGACTCCCAGGAAAACAGGGCAAAACTGCAAAGAAATGAATGGTTTTCCTTCTTTCAAAGGCAGACAGGTTCCCTGAGGCTCCACTCAGAGACCGGGCTCGGACAGGTGACCCCCCAAGAACTCTTCTAACCCTGGAGGGCGATGAGCCAATTCTCCTTTCCCAGATCCCAGCCAGACTTCTGGTAACTCCTTTTCTGCAGTTTTCCTCCTGCCTTTCTTCCCACTCTGCAACCAGTGTGGACATCAGGTGGGGG